CTGTGTGTGTGTGTGTGTGTGTGTGTGTGTGTGTGTGTGTGTGTGTACATGTGTGAAAGTGCCCAAGGGGACAGAGACATTGTATCCCCTGGAGCTGGAGTTACAGGCATTGTAAGCCTGGGTGCCTGGAGCAGTTTTGGGTCCTCTGAACAGTAAGTGCTCTTAACCACTTGAGCCATCTCTCCATCTCCTATGTGAAGTTTAACGAGAACAAAACCCCATTTAGTTACTTCTAAAATAGAAATAGGCAACTGGAGCTGGTGAGATGTCTCAGTGGGTAGCAACACTTACTTTGAAGTCTGACAATGTGAGTTTGATCACTAGGACCCACATGGTGGGCAGAGAGAACCAACTCTAGCAAATTGTCCTCCAACATCCACATGGCAAATGACATGGGCATGAGCATGTGTGCACGCAGACACACATATGCACACAAAACAGATTTTTGTTTTGTTTTGTTTTTCAAGACAGTATTTCTCTGTGTAGCCCTGGCTGTCCTGGAACTCATTCTCTGTAGACCAGGCTGGCCTTGAACTCAGAGATCCACCTACCTCTGCCTCTGGGATTAAACATGTGTGCCACCAATGCCAAGCAAAATAAGTTTAACAATGAAATATTTTTAAACAAGGTAAAAGAAATTTTTATTGTTAGTTATTTTGTAGAAATACAACTTATAATGAAGTAAAACATAAAATAAATATAAAATTGTCAATGCCATTTTAGGACCTACATACAGATACAGCCTACCCTTTCCTCTTTCTGTAGCATTTAGTACATTTAACATGCAATCAAATTTCCTTGCTTATTTTTGTCTCTTCTAAGAAAATAAGATCAATGAAGGCAGTGATCATTGTCTCACGACACTGAAAGCATCCACAAGAGTATCTGTTATCAGATAATTATTTTTCAATGGATGTCCTTCACTGAAGCAATTATGAGAATGCAGACTATTCCAGTATCTATACTTACAACTAAGTCCAGTCATAACCAGTTCCTTCTCACCCCGTGACTTGCCTTATTGATTTTCATAAAGTTCTAATCACTCTTCACATATGTTTATAGCCAATTTTCAGTTTGTTACATAATTCAGAACTGTGAGAGTAAGTATTAAGTGTTCTTTTGAGTTTACATCCTTCACTTTAAAAATGTACATTCATGACCATATTTTGTGGATAAATAATAAAGAAGACACTTTTTCTTATTACTTTTAGACTGGGAGTCTATGTATGTGACTGAAGAATTAATCCCAAAGCAGAAACTTTATAAAGAATGGTCATCCAGAAAGATAATAGAAGAACTTAGAAGTATTGGCCTTGAGTATCCCAGGTTGATGGGAGAATGGAACCATGAGCAGCATTTTGAGAGGCAATCTCAGAATCTAAAAGTGTATTTCAAGGAAGAGACCCTCACTTTTGAAGCTCTGGTTGATAACAGATCCTGGGGAAGTTTCTATCAGAACACATTGCTTCATGCACAGCAGACAAGCCCCACAGAGGAGAATGCATATAAACAAGGCACACACAAGAAAAGCTTGAAGAAAAGCTTGAAGACTGTTAGGCCCAGGAGCATCTACACAGAGAAGAAACTTCTGAAATGCAACGATTGTGAGAAAGTCTTTAGCCAGAGTTCTTCCCTTACTCTACATCAAAGAATTCATACTGGAGAGAAACCCTACACATGTATAGAATGTGGGAAAGCCTTCAGCCAGAGATCAAACCTTGTTCAGCATCACAGGATCCATACCGGAGAAAAACCCTATGAGTGTAGAGAGTGTCCGAAAGCTTTCAGTCAGAATGCACACCTAGTCCAACACCTGCGAGTCCACACTGGAGAGAAACCTTACGAGTGCGCGGTGTGCAGGAAGGCCTTCAGCCAGATGGCCTACCTTGCTCAGCATCAGAGAGTTCACACTGGGGAGAAACCCTATGAATGTATGGAATGTGGAAAAGCATTCAGCAATAGGTCATCCATTGCTCAACACCAGAGAGTTCACACAGGAGAGAAACCTTATGGGTGCAGGGTCTGTGGAAAAGCATTTAGCCTCCGTGCATACCTTACTGTGCATCAGAGAATACATACCGGGGAGAGGCCCTATGCATGTAAGGAATGTGGCAAGGCGTTCAGCCAAAATTCACACCTTGCTCAACATCAGAGAATTCACACAGGAGAAAAACCTTACAAATGCCAGGAATGCAGGAAGGCCTTCAGCCAGATTGCCTACCTTGCTCAACATCAAAGAGTTCACACTGGGGAGAAACCTTATGAGTGTGTTAAGTGTGGGAAGGCTTTTAGCAATGACTCATCCCTTACTCAACACCAGAGAGTTCATACTGGAGAGAAACCTTATGAATGTAATGTTTGTGGGAAGACTTTCAGTTACTGTGGATCCCTTGCCCAGCATCAGAGAATTCATACAGGAGAGAGACCCTATGAATGTAAAGAATGCAAGAAAACCTTCAGGCAACATGCACATCTCGCTCATCATCAGAGAATTCACAATGGGGAGTCACTTGCCACCCAATCCAGGAAATCACCAAGTCCTGTAAATCCCATCTCCTAAATATTTCTGAAATGTATGTTCTTTTCTGTCTTCAATGCTGACCACTGCCATACTGTTCTAATGGGTTTTCCAGTATTTATTATTACTATCTTTAAATCCTTTTCCCATAATGTACCCAAAATGATTTTATTTTGAGGTGGGATCTTGTGTAACTCACGCTGGCCTTAGAATCACTATGTAGCCAAGGCTGGCCTCGACTCATTATCTTCCTGTCTCTGCCCCTCGAGTGCAAGTGCTGTGATTACAACTCTGTGCTACCACACCTAGCAGATTTTGTTAAGTATAAGGATTCATGCATCACCATCTCCACCTAAAATTGTTTTTTGATTGCTAGTGGTTTTAGACTAATCAAGACGCTTTAAAATTATATATAAGACTTTTCATTGTCTGGTCCAAACATACCATTCAGCTTTATTTTATCCCCATCTCCTTTAAGCACTAGACACTACTTAAGACTATGAACTTAGGTTCTGGGAAATCATAGTTCTACCCCTACTATGGTATTGTGTGAGTTTGAACAACTTATTTGACTTATCTAAACCTCAGGATTTTAATCTTAAAATAGGGATATTGAAGGCTACTGTATTGTGCAAATGTATTAAATGAAAGTGTCTGTTGAAAATTAATGCATACTGAGATAAGAAATTTGCATGCAGAGTACTTAACATAGGACATCAGCTATAGCAGATACTCAGTAAATAGTAATGCCTAACATGAATTAGGTGTATACTAGGCGCCAGGCACTGTTCAGTATAGTTAGCATATTTGAACTCATTTACTTCTCACAACTGAAACAAGATTTGTTGAACCTCTTTGGGAAACACCTGATCAGAATTGAGAAAACCTAAACATTTTAGAACATAAATGGGAGTTTTCATCCTCTATGAATCATCATTATAGATCCAGGGAGTAAAACAATAATTGATTATTAGTGTTTTACCAAGTTTCTAAAGAGAATGGAGTAGATTAAACCAATAAGATAGGATTCACTGGGAAGTATTCAGCACTTACATTTAGATCAGGAAGGTAGAATTCACAATTAACTCTAAAAACATAAAGCAGAAATGGGTAGTTCCCATCAAAAGACACTAAACCTAAGTAATTATATGAGTTAATTCAGTATGAAAACATATCAATTGTTTTATACTTAGAAAAAAATATAGTTTTCAAGCTTTTATCCAGTGGTTTCCAAAGTGAAAGCAAAACTAAAACTACAGATTTTCATTTATTCTGTAACAATTGAGTAGCTACTCTTTAAACACCCTGAAGCATGTGACGTGAACAATATGAATACTACATTCTCATCAGTTAAATTCCAGAGTGTAAACAGTTAATAATAATTAGATATAAAGACAATACATTTTATGACCAGCATGGTGTCACACACCTTAATTCCAGCACTCAGGAGGCAGAGGCAGGCAGATCTTTGAGAGTTCAAGGCCAGCCTGGGCTACAAAGTGAGTTCCAGGAAAGGTGCCAAAACTATACAGAGAAACCCTGTCTCAAAAAACCCTCCAAAAATACATTTTAAAACCCAGAAAACAGAAAAATGACAAGAAAATAAGTTAAGGACCATAAGCTATAGCATAGTCCCAGGAAACTCATTGGAGTTGGTGGTTCTTCCTAATTCATATTCTATAGCAAACTTTCTTGTTGGACTATCTTTGGATTGGCAGCCCCTAAATAATGACATGGTGACTTCTTATTAATTATGAAAGCTTGGCCTTTTGCTTAGGCTTGTCCCCAACTAGCACTTATAACTCAAATAAACCTGCTTCTGTTAATCCATATTATGCCCCATGGCGTTTACCTTTTCCTCAGTATGGCACGTCCTGACTTGCTCCAAATCTGCTGGTGAAATCTGAGTGCCTAGATTCCTCCTCTTTCTCTCTCTACCCAGAAATCCCACCTATCCTCTCCTAACTAGCTATTGGCCATTCAGCTCTTTATTAAACCTATCAGAAGGTACACTGGCAAAGACACATTTTCACAGTATAGAAATATTCTGCAACAATATCCATTGCAAATCCTCAATGGAATGTTTGTACCCTTTAATTTCATAAAATGCCATGGAAGCTTCTGGCAAGTGAAAATCCCAAAGAATGCAAGAAACATATTGACTCTATTTGTAGAAACTTCATATGAAAGGTCGGTTCAGAATGGTAGCAAAACGTAGACCTAGAGGGGTTAGAAAAATTGATTTTCCATGTCATGAGGAGTAAGGGTTGTACAAAATGAAACCATCATAAAATGAGCTATTTCAAGATCAATGCTGGTGGCTAGGCACAGTGGTGAACACCTGTCAGAGGCAGACACAGGCAGAGCTTTATGGGTTGGAGATCAGCTTGCTTTACATAGCAAATTCCAAGCCATCCAAGACTACAAAATGAAACCAGTATTTAAAGAAGAAGAAGAAGAAGGAGAAGAAGAAGAAGAAGAAGAAGAAGAAGAAGAAGAAGAAGAAGAAGAAGAAGAAGAAGAAGAAGAAGAAGAAGAAGAAGAAGAAGAAGAACTACTAACTGGAAAGATGTGGAGCCTTGTGGATACTCATGGTTGTGGTTGTCTGCAGCATCAGTTGGCAATATCTTATAAAGTTGAGGATGTGAACTGTCTTGAACCCAGTAATTCTGCCTTGAACCCTCTACAAAAATGCAAGTCTTCATGTTTCATGAGATGTACATGGAAGACCCACTGCAGTGCTATTTATAGGAATGAAGAAAGTAGCCAAAAAATGGGCTTAATTTAGAATGCCAATTATACTAGCCAATGGAGATACTTCCATCAACATTGTTAAATTCCAAAACTATAATAATATTTAATTAGAGAGTATTTTTTTTGTATGACACAGTACCACAAGGCTTGAAAACATACAAGTCAGATGCTATATACTTTCCATAATAGATACTATATAGGAAGAACATGAAAGCATTTATGGAAATAATCACAAGATCCATAATAGTGGTGATCTCTGGGAAGAACTAAAAATGAGACTGAGAAAGAATGCAAAGAAAAACTATTTATTTAGAAACAAAGCAAAAATGTGGGATATTTGTACAGTGTGTGAAGATATGTTACTGTGATTGATTTAATAAAGAGCTGAACATCCAACAGATAGACAGGATGTATAGGCAGGACTTCCAGGCAGAGAGAAGAGAAGTAGGAGATGAACATAGGCATGCATCAGACACCAACAAAACATGGAAAAAGTCAAACATTCAGAATGAAAGAAAGGTAAAAGCCACACAGCAAAATGAAGATTAAAAAATATGGGTTAATTTAAATTATAAGAGCTAGTTGAGATAAGCCTAAGTTAAAGGCCAAACTTTCATAATAAGTCTCTGGGTCATTATTTATGTTTCAGACCAAAGATAGTCTATTGATGTAACCAACCGTCTTATTAAATAAGAAACACAGAAACAATGTAAAAGAGAGAGCCGAGAAGTCAGAGCTCAGAGCTAAAATCTCACCCTTCCTCCTGCTGTCCCAGCTTCGCGAAAAGAGACCTACTTCCTGTCGGTTCGTTTTTTTTATAGTATGTTGTTCTGCCTTCTCATTGGTTGTAAACCCAAACACATGACTGCCTCGTCACTGTCTGAATGTACAGCCCCCTAGGTCTTAAAGGCATATGTCTCCAATGCTGGCTGTATCCCTGAACACACAGAGATCTTATGGGATTAAAGGCGTGTGCCACCACCGCCACACTCTTGCTATGGCTCTAATAACTCTGACCCTGAACACACAGATATCTATGGGATTAAAGGCGTGTGCCACCACCGCCACACTCTTGCTATGGCTCTAATAGCTCTGACTCCCAGACAACTTTATTTATTAACATACAATCAAAATAATATTTCAATACAATTAGATTACCACCACAATAGTCTGACAAGAAAGGTTGCTACATTTGGTGCCCAACGTGGGGCACCACAAAAATAGCCAATTCAGGTTGCTTGTAGGTGTCCGGGTTAGTGCTCATTCTCCATCTTCCTATCTAAACTGTTTCATAATAAAGGATAAAAGACATTCCAGTGGTGTTTGCTTTTGCTTTTATTAGTCACTTCCTTACTCCAGGCATGCCATTGCTGTCCTCCCATTCACCATCTTCACGAAAAAAGTGGACATCAGCTTCAAGAGGCAACCACAGTTGCCAGCTGAAACTAGGCTTGTAATGGTGGTAGAGTTACACAGTCCTGAGTTCACGCTCCAGCACTGCCCCACCCCCAAACCTCACTCTTCACCACCCCACTCCCACCAGATCCCCACAAAAAGACTACTCTTTCATGTTTGAGAGTTTATATTGAGGTTGGTTTAGTTCTGTAATTCCAGCACTTCAGAGGCTAAAGCAGAAGGAATGCCACAAGTCTGAGAGTCTGGGCGACCTGTCAGTCAAGTCAGGGCTACACATCAAGATCTTGTCCTCTGCTTCAAAACAAAAGAAGGAAGAGAAGGACGTGGTGTGGTGTTATATTGTGTACCCCAATGTATTGTGTACCCTAATAAACTTATTTGGGGATCAAAGGACATAGCCAGCCACTAGATTAGACATATAGGCCAGACAGTGGTGGCACACACCTTTAATCCTATCACTCGGAGGCAGAGATCCCTCTGGATCTCTGTAAATTCAAGGCCACACTGGGAACACAGACAGCATGGTAGCACACACCTTTAATCCCAGCACTCAAGATCTCAGGGCTTTGCTTGGGAAGGACACACGCCTTTAATCCCAGGAAGTGATGGCAGGAAGCAGAAAGGTATATAAGCATGAGGACCAGGAGCTAGAGGCTTTTAAGCAGTTCAGCTATGACTCTCTTCCAGGTGAGGACTCATAGACTTTCAGTCTGAGGAAACAGGATCAGCTGAGGAGTTGGTGAGGTGAGGTTGGCTGTGGCTTGTTCTGTTTCTCTGATCTTCCAGCTTTCACCTCAATACCTGGCTCCAGTTTTTTTTTTTTTTAATTAATAAGATCTTTTAAGATTTGTGTTACATGGTGCTGATGATTCTGTTTCTACTTTCCCTCGGGATAATATGTAACCAAACATGGGACCTGTATAATAACGGAGGAAAGAAGTAACTTAGGAGCAGACTTATGAACTAAAACTGCAGCATTTGCGGCAAGATGGCCGGTTGTGCACAACGTCCAGGACCTACTTCACAATTGGGGTGGTTTCTCCTGGTCTCCAGCCTTTGCTGTCCCTGGCTTTGTCACTCATGAGCTTGATCTACCTTGATATTATTTATAAAGGTGCAAGTCTCTTTTGGATCAATTCCATTGTGTTGTGGAATATTCCTTTATACTGTGTGAAGATATGTCACTGTGATTGGTTTAATAAAAAGCTAAATGGCCAATAGCTAGGCAGGATTTTGGGGGCAGAAAGAATGCTGGGAAGAAGGGCAGAGAAGCTAAACAGATGCGGAACGAGTTAGACACACAAAATGGGATAGAGGTAAAAGCCACATGGGAGAACATAGATTAATAAAAATATGGGTTAACTTAAGTTATAAGAGTTCATTATGAACAAGCCTAAGCTATTGGTCAAGCTTTCATAATTAACAAGAAGTCTCTGTTTGATTATTTGGGAGTTGGCAGGTGAAACAGAAAAGTCTGCCTACACCATTGATGTTCCCTTAATTATTCATGGCTAAGCAATAGCAGTTTTGGGAGTTATAGGTTTTCATGCTTTCTTTGCACTTGGTAACTTCTTGGCTTCCAATTCTAAGGCTGTATAATTCACCTATAAAATAAGATGTCCAATTGGGGGTGTCTTTAGTGCACGTAGTCAGTCTTTTCTTTGGCCTTCAGTTGTGTGGTTTTCACTGAGCCTCAGACAGTTTGCAGGTAAACTATTGTGCCAGCCTGAAAGGGACTGGGATTACAAATGTGGGGGAGCACACCTGTAATCCTCGCACTTTGGAAGTGAAAGCAGGGAGATCAAGAGTTCAAGGTCAGCCTAGGTTACATCATACCCTGTCTAAAACAAACAAAAATAAATACATTAAACAACAACAAAACCCCATAAAAACATATGTGACCAACCCCACCTCCTGGCATTGGAGACTAAGAAAGCTCAGCTTTAGGGTGTGGGACTCTCCATGATGTTCATGGAGAAAGGAGCATTGGATTTCTACAATGCAAGAGTAACTATGTTTAAAGATGCAGGGGCACCTACTTCGCTTGCCCTACAATAGCCAAATCTCCTGGCCTAGCAAAGGATTTGTAGTACGGCACAGTTTTAAATATGGTCCGTCTTATCATGTGGCTGCCAGGCAGGTGCAGCCATCATGCCTTCATTAACGCATGGAATGCCCAGACTCCTGTCCACGGAAAGGCTGCAGAGTGTCGGCTGACAACCTCAAAGTTGATACTGAGTCTGCGCACTGGCTCTCTGGATGGGAAGAAGTTACACCATAGTGAAAGCTGAGCCAATCAATTTGGGGTTAAAAATGCCTATCTAAATGGGAATGGTTAGTGAGGGGAAAACAGTCAAAACTTAGGATCTGTATTAGATGCTGACTTGGGACTACAGTGACCCAGCTGGGTCAGTTATGGGTACTTAAAAGTGTCAATGCCAGCCAGACCAAATGACTGTGTGAATGGGCATCATATCCATGGGAATTGGTGGCAGATGCTCTGTGAGTTGGGAATGTATGGGAATTAATAAACAAGGGTTCTGTGAAATGTCATAACTAACAGAGTGTAAGGTGGTCAGTTACAACAGTCTTCATGGGTCTGGGGCCAAGTGTGGTTTTCAAAGGCACAGTGCAAACAAATGGACATTTCCTGTCCCAGCCACCTGCTCCCCATTCAGGCAGCTGCTTCCCAGTTGCCACCCAGAGACTTAATATTATCTGTAAATGCTTGCCTGCTAGCTCAGGCTTATTACTAACTAGCTTGTACATTTAAATTAACCCATTTCTATTAATCTATATTTGGCCACGTGGCTCATGGATTTACCTGTCCTCTAGCGTGTCTTGCTTCCTGGGCAGCTGGCTGGCATTTCCCCTGACTCCACCCTCCTTCCCATCATTCTCTGTTTAGCTTTTCTGCCTAACTTCTTGCCCAGCTACTGGCCTGTCAGCTTTTCAATAACCAATGAGAGTAATAAATATTTATAGTGTAGAAAAGGATTGTTCCACTGCAGCTGGGAGGTGGAACAGGAGGATCAGAAGTTCAAGGCTAGCCTTGTACTCGTGAGCTTGTCTCAATAATGATAATTATTGTCAACAGTCTTTTCTAAGAAACACATTCTGCCTCTAGAGCACTCTGACCCTTGGTACACTAAAGAGGTAAATGATTAGTCCAGGAGACATTCCTACCTCAAGAATATAGGAATGTGAAGCCCAACCGGTGGCATACACCTTTAATCCCAGCACTTGGGAGGCAGAAGCAGGTAGATCTCTGTGAGTTCGAGGCCAGCCTGGTCTACAGAATGAGTTCCAAGGCAGCCAGGGTTACACAGAGAAATCCTGTCTCAAAAAACAAACAAACAAACCAAATGTGGAATTGTGTAAGCAGATTTTTCTGTCCTGTCAGCCAGCTCCCAAATCACAACATGGAGACTTATTGCTAGTAAATTGCACCAAAATGTTAATAAACTGCACCAAAAATGTTAGTAAACTGATTGAAAAAACTCTGGGTTTGGTGCCCCAGGTTTCAGCACCAAAAATGTTAGTAAACTGGTTGCAGAACCTGAGTTTCGAAACTCTGTGGGTTTGGTGTCCTGACTCCTGGGGAGTGAGGCAACACCTTGAGCTGTGTAGCACAGCTGTGGTGGCTGAAACCGCAAGGAGACAGTTCAGCCCTGGAGGGCGGGGTATCCCGGACACCTCGAGCTGCTCAGAACAACAGCTCTGCCCTGAAGGTGTCCTGGGCAAAGAAACGGCCCAACTCTGGAAGGGAAATTTTTCTGACTTCTCAGCAGAGTCAGGCCTGGAACTGCTTCAGCAGGGGAGGGTATCCTGACTCTTGGGGAAAGTCAGGCTTACCTGATGTGATGGGGGATGGTCTCCCCACAGGGTCAAT